TTATTGACCTTTTATTTTTCTGGATGATTGTAATTTATTTTTTAAACTTTCGAAATTACCAGTCTAACTTTCAACTTTTAAGTAGATACCTAATATAATTTTAAGTCATGGTCTGTTGTATTTTTTTAGATGACAGTTTAATTTATTATAGATGATGGAAATAGTTAAAATAATTATGAACAATACAAAAGAATAATAAAAAAAACATGCATTTATTGATAGAAATTATTAATTCTATTTAAAAAAAAATATATAAATCGGAATTAAATCGGTTTACCTAATCATTTTTTTTTGTTTTTTATTTCTAAATTTAATCAGAATAAAAAAAACAGAAACAGATTAATTTAATTTAATACTTTCTGAAATCTGTTTTTGGCATTATATTAAACGTTTAATTTTTACAAGTTTTTATTTAAATAATATTTAAAAACCAGTAATTTAAATATAAGACAAGTTAGAAGAGGGTATTTTGAAAACAAACTGAACTAACAAGGTAAAAGTAAAAATAAATAAATTAGTTTTACGTGGTGAAGAGACTAAAGGATAGTAAAAGCATATACTTATATATTAAGTATACTCGAGGCAATGTACGTAAATTATAAGAGAAAAAAAGCACTCTTTAATTATTGAATATATCAACTATTAAAACAGTTTATATAAATACGTTTATATTAACACTCTCTAAAATATTAATTATTTTTGTTTGTTATACTATATATCGTAATAGTTTATAATGCATTATATTAAAATATGAACGTATGATATACCTATATAAATATATATATTTGGTATCCTTACCTATGTATTTATATATTTTTTATTTATAAATAATAATTTGTAGGTAAATATTATTTATTCGTGAGTAAAGAAATCTGTAGATTTTATAACTTTAACATATATTAAAATTTAATGAAAAAAGAACATGGGTATTATCATCTACTATATTATTATCCTAAAAAAAAATTATGTTCAGTGTGCTTAGCTATACTGTATTGTAACATATTTTGTGATATACCATGTGATACATGATTTATGATTAGTTAAAATCAAAATCAAAAAGAATAATTTGTGTTTTAATAATATTATATTAGTACTGCTAATTGAATAGGTAGTATATTATATTTAGAGTGGATTTGGTTGGTTAAAAACTTGAGGTAATAATTGTTTAATTGGAGACATTTTAACCACTTTTGTTATATTTTTTTGAATTATTGCTCTAATTGTTTTAAAAAAATATAAGATTGTCGTAAATTCGTTGAATGCAACATTTAAATAGGAGTGTGCCGATGTGTGTACTGTGTTCTGATCGAAACACTATTAATCTATTACACATTATAAAATGTCGTAACTCGTCTTAAACACATAATACCAATATTGTGAAGTAATTCATTTAAGTTTTATTAAATCAGTTCGCTGTTGACCTGCAACGCGACCGCACGTTGTACGGTTATATTCGCTCCGTTATCGCGTTTCAGTATGTAAACAGTTAACAGTTCTCGGGTTTCACTCCGTTGAACACGTTTTCATTCCAATATGAATAACACTACCTCTCCGAACATTTTTATATCCAAACGGTCGCTGCCATCTTCTCCAAATTCACCTATCCAAATGGGGAAAAAAACTAAGTCATTTGTTTCGCCAAATAAATTCGCTGTCCTAGCTACCGAAGAGGACATCGAAATCCAACACGACACCTCTAATGTTATTTCTAATATAACCAACGAGTCTACACTTCATCATAACCAGGTCAACAACAGGGCTCCGCCAATATACGTTCAAAACATCACCAACTTCTCCGCATTTAAAAACGCGTTAGTTCAAATCACCGGCCAAAACGGTTTTTCTTGCAAGTCCACGTCTTCCTTTTTGATTATTCGTCCTCACGGACGTATCATGTTTAACTTAATCATGAACCATCTAAAGGACACCAGTGCCTTTTTTCATACTTTTATGCCTCCACCACGTCGACCCTACAAGGTCATTATCAGAAACTTGCACCACACTACACTCATCCCCGATATATCTGATGCACTCTCGGAGTTAGGTCACCACACCAGCCGTGTCACAAACGTCAAAAAAAATGGTCACCCATGCCCACTTTTTCTTGTGGAGTTAAAACCCAACACCAACAATAAAGAAATCCTAAACTTGTCTACTATTTTGCACACATATATCAAAGTCGAATTTCCATACAGGACCAAGAGTGGTCCACCTCAGTGCCGTAACTGCCAGAACTATGGTCACACTGCGAACTATTGTCACCATCCTTCAAGGTGTGTCAAATGTGGGGGCGACCACCACACCGTCGACTGCATCAAACCCAAAACCAGCCCAGCTAAGTGCTCCCTATGCATGGGCAATCACACCTCCAACTACAAAGGATGTCAAATATACAAATCTCTTCTCAAACGACGCAGAACCACTCATTCAAAACAACAGAATCCGAATCCGGTACTCAGTTCTTTTCATCTCCAAACTCCCCCTCTCCCTCCCAAAACTTCTTACGCATCCGCTACTAATTCTAAAAATATACCATTACCCAATGTTCACACAACCGATAACCCACTAACAAAATTCTTATCTGAACTTTCCTCTCTAATCTCTCCCCTCATCACGCTCCTTACAGCTGTTCTAAATAAACAGCCTGTTACATAGTGCATTACCTTTATTATCTCATAATTAATTTAATTAAAATTTTTTTTTTTAATCGCCAGAAACGTTAAACTAACTATTGTACCTTATAGGTCTTCAACTCATATTTATATTAATATTAAGTTAATATATTATCACGTGCTGGGTGTTATCAATGGATAACTTCCCAATCATATTATTTCACTGTTAATTTTATATTCCTTTATCAAATCTAATTATTATACTATTAACTGTATAGATTGTAGATGTATTTTAATAAAAAAAAAAAAAAAAAAAAAAAAAAAGTTTTATTAAATAAATAACACAATATTATCAGTTATTGTAAAAGTAAAAAAGAAATCTTTTTATATGGTTAATCCATCTAATGTGAATATTGATTGTTTCGAGTTGGAACGAATCAGAGTTGTTGCTGAACTATTTGATCGTTAATTCAAGTATACTCATATATGCCTCAAAGTTCAAATGTGAAACGAGCGGATTCGTCTCGGTAAAAAATAATATTATGGAATGTGAAGGGTCTCCGGCTGCTACATTCCGAGGGGTCGTTTTGGTTGTAGAAAATTGTGCATGTAAGAATATCAACGAGGGACATTAAAAACGATATTATATATTTCCATATAATATAATGACAAAAGGGATACGTCGAATGGCGTTTATTAAAATCGTTTTTTATGTCATATAAATGTATGCCCGCCACCAGGACAGCAAAACAGATACTTATATAATGCACGTGACCGAATGCTTGCAGGCCAGCTGTAGTGACTAGTGGTATCTATATACATTATATATTATGTATATTACATAATAAGGTGATCGCTTTTTCAATTTAAGAATATGAAAAGGATAATATAAGTTGCTTAAATAATATTTTAACCAACATAAATATTGAAAAGATTCGTTTTTTCTACCAACTTATTAACAAATTAGAAAATTATACCTGTACCTTTTATACCTAATTATACCTAATTATACCTAACCTAACCTGTACCTTATACCAGTTAATACCTACTACCTTATTAATTATTTACTTTTATTTCTTGTATTTATTTAACTAATTTTTTTGTATAAGTTTTGTTTTTATACCTATTTTTCATCATATTTTCAGTGTTTGGATATGTTTGGTGCAATGTTTAAAGAAAACCTAGACAAAATGTGTCCAGTGTAAGATCGGTCCGGACAATGTTCATCCTGCCAATTTCTTATTCAATGATATACTAGGTATATCACTCCTGGTGGGGATAGAGTTATTTTTCGTGAGCATTATAAATTAAAATCAGTATACGATACACGTTTATAGGTACATCCTACACGATTATTTAGGTGTTAACCTTCTCCACCAAAATTGTGTACCTATATTTATTCACGGTCGAATGAGATGACATCCGATTTCATATTTATACTTATATTTTTGACCAATATTGAAAATTTGTAATCATTTTATGTTACCATTTACCATTTATACTTATTAATGTTGATTTGCATACCAGCCGGCCACCATAAGAAATAAATAATTAATTAATTTCGGCCAAACGAAAAAATAAGTGTACTTACTACTGCACTATAGTATAATAACGAGTTTTTAAAAATTTCAAAAAATAGATCGTGGTAATAAAAAATGAAAGTACTTACATACATTAAAATGTTTTTTTTAACTTTGATATTTAAGTGATAAACTGATAATAATTAACTGCCCAGCCTTGCTAAATAAAGTATAAGGTGTGATTGAAACCTTCAATATTTAAATATATATACCTAATGTATACCTATATATATATATATATAATTGCTTGAAGTTTGATAAAGTTTGTCATTATTCATTAATCATTGCATATTATGTAGGTATATCTGGTGTACCAAAATATATTATTATGGATATTATATTTGATGGTGTTTTAGATTTAGATAAACGTAAATTTGATTTTTTTTTCACCTGAAATAGACAACGGTCGTTTGAAGAACATATCGGCCAAAAAGGGAAAAGTACCTACAAATATATCGGGAATGCGTTATGCCCATACACGACATTTAGGTATAGGGTTTGCGGTCGCGTCGGACACCACACGTCTGCTGACATCTGATAAAATGCATCCCCGCGATATATATAGACCTAAGGTACGGCGTATATAATATGTAAAATATATAAAATGTAGTCAGCAGAACGTGCCGAAAAACCGGAAAACGGTTTACGCAACGTGTGTGGGTCATAAAGACATATAATATATATTATATTTATAAAATATGATATGCTCGCACACAGTATTCTCACTATTATTATCATTATTATCGTCATCCGTCGCCGCGGCGGTAGAATTTCGACGAGAATCGGACGTTTCGGAGATGACTTCATTATGTCGGCGTGGCCGAAGGGGTGTGATCGCAAAAGGGTTTATTATTATAGGCGGAGGCGCGGTGGCGGCGGACCACGTTTGGCGGCAAAAACTTCGGGCGGCAGCGGAGCAACAACCCTCGTCGGTGCGCACCCGATACACGCCGCGCCGGCCGAGACACGCGACCGTCGCATCGTGGCGTCAGTTCTCGCCTGTTTCGCTAAGGGTGCAGACCTGCTGAATCGCCATGTACACAGGTCCCGGGCATGTGCTCGTCGCGATCGCGATCGCACTCGTCGTCGCATCAGCCGTGTCTCCGTCACGCGGGGAGCTTATCGTCGGTAAGACGTTTATCAATTATTATTATTGTTATTATTATTTTGATTAAGTATAGGTAATGTAAAAACCTTTATTTTACGACACCAATCGTTCTACCGAAGACTGTCTATTACGTCTCATTATGTGTTGCGCTCCATTTGTAAAACTGGAAAATTTCAAATGCTGTTTTCAATATTTAAAATCATTTTTTATTTTTAAAATTATATTTAATATCAGTATCAAAAATAAAAATAATAATAATATTATTATGAATGTAAAAAGAAAATTAAGTGTAGGTAGTTACTATATTATGATAAAAATAATAAAACGGTTAACTTATAAGATTTCAATACTATTCGCTTTTATTTCAGTATCGTACAATAGTATTATTTTTGTAACCTGAATACAAATCATAATATTCAAGTGGTATAAGTACCTTGTTCGTGTTATTATATATCTACGGAAAATTATTAAAAATAGAAAATCTCGGAAATATTTAAATAAAAAATGATAGTATACGGGCTTTCTAAAATTTACTATTAGTAAGAGTATAATCGAAACTATAATTATATTAATCTTAATGTAGAAAATTAAATAATCAACAACTGGTTGTTGCCCAGCTCATGAAGTGAGCAAATTCACGAATGGAGTGTAACAAACCGTAGGAAGTAGTATATGGTAAATACCATGTACTTGGTTGTAATAGAAAAAATGCACGGTATGAATGGTTTTTGTCGTGGATTACTCGAAAACACTATCATATTATATCATTATTATTTTAGATCTGATGGTTTTTCGTTAAATCCAAAATACCAACGCACGATTATGCGTTTTATCGAAATAATATTATTTCAGTAAATTTAAAAAAAAAAAATTGCATGTTATATAGGCACTAAGTGGTCTCAAAGTAACAAAAAAAAGTTCATACCTCGCAATAGTACTTCATAACCTGTTACCCACCGAGCGTATCGGCGACGTCCATAAATTCATGTCTAATTTTACGTTGGAGTCAAACTGTATTTGTATGAATAATAAGATTAAGTTTACAATAATTTCTTGAACATTTAAAAACTAACTTCACACTTTGTTACGATATCGTATAGATTTTTTTCCTGGTGCAAGATGATTGCATTTATAAAGAAAATAAATCGTTAAAACAAAAAATGTTTAATATTTAGTAAAGTTGAAATTATTCATTGTTTTCCTTGTTTTACTCAAAGACTCTAATAACGTTTTAATTAGATTAAACATTTTTTTTAGAACTATTGAGAACATTTTTGAATTTTTTATATTGTTATAAACAACTTACAGCACATGAAAAGATTGAATGGTGGAGATGTGGTCGAAATAAACCAAAAAGAGTTAACTTTCAAGGGTATTTATTCAACACAAGAAAACATTTCTAAATAGAATTCATAACAAGAATACTCTTTTTATAAACTGCATATTAGAATAAATTATAAAACCCATTTAATATTTATATATCTAGTGTACTAGTGTTAAAACAATATGCTGTGTTCATAAATGTATTTCATGATCATGCCATATCGCTTGCAAATTAATTTTTCACATTCGTATTACTAAAACACCTACATCAGTGGTATGCCTACGTGTGGCTTACCCAGATCAGTGTATCTAGTTGGTAATAGTGTCTACTGTCTACCTTTTTCCAAGTCAGGTAATAAAATTCGTTTTAATTGGGAAACGAAATCATGGTTCATTTTATAATATTATATAGGTATACTAGAATAAAAACTTTATAAAAAACTGAACCATTTAAAAAATATTAAATGCAGTAACGAAATCGCTGTTATTTAAATACCAAATATTTCAAAGTAGGTATAGAGTATGAATATATTTTTCTTTTAATTTAACGATTTTCAAAATAGGAATAAATTGTTTTCGTTATAAAACGGAGAAGTAATTGGTTTTATACAACCATGTTTTTTTTATTTTAGGAAGTAGCAAATGTGCCCAATATTATTTTCCGTCGAAATCGAAATGTAAACTGTACTGTATACATTATTATTATTTTAGGAAAGCCGTAATTATTTTCAATTTATTTTATAAAATCACTAAACACCGCTAACATTATCTGGTGAAAAAAAATTATAAAAATTATAAAGCAATATAATAAATAGTGTGGATATTTAAATTAATATTGTTTAGATGTTTATTTATAACTGTAGTTGTGCTTTATTTTGAGACCGTTTGAGGCATATTTTGTATTATAAAATAAAAATCAGTGTTTACTATACATTCAAAAAAAAAAACTTTTTTTAAAATTATTATGGAATTGTGGTCTGTACGCATAAGGTCAATATGTTGGATTTAGAATAGTTGGCGCACGCAGGAGATTTTCTCGGTGAGGGTTGCAGTAGAAATATGATTCCCCTATTTAGTTTTTTCATGCATATTTTTATTACTTGTCCACCTTTTATAATATATTACTTTGTATGGTCAGCTGTTGATAAATATTATGGAAGTTTTTCATTCGTCACTACCTATAACTACACAAAAAATTAAATACATTTTGAACAGTTATTATAAAACTGCGCAGTTATTACTTGATAATAAAACCCGCACATAAAATTCACTTAGCATTTAATTTCTAAATTATTATACATAAATAAATAAAAAAAACAGGGTAAGTCACTCTAATTTATTGTAGGTTTTGGATGTACATCGTTATTGAGTGGGTCCCTGTAATGGATGAGTTAAATTTGAATGCAATGATAATAATCATCCGGATTGCATACGAAACACGATTCTGAATGTAGAAGATAATAATTTATTTATATTACTATAAGTAAATTATTTTTCTATTAGTAATACAGTGTATTGAACTAATTTTTGCCCAAAACATCGAATATATGATATAATATTTATTATTATTTATTTACTTGTATATTAACTCTATTCGGTTTTTAATAATAGTGGTTCAAGATAAAAATGTACAATAGATCAGTGTAACATATAACTTTTACAATATAATATTAATTATTATATTATTTAATAGGTACCTTTACCTATATAACAACATTATTATCAATTTATAACTCCTGTACAGTAGGTATAATGGTGTGAATAGAGATGAATGGTATAAATAGCTTTAAATTTATCTAAATATTTTTAATACAATGAGTGTACAATGAGTGTATCGAAAATAATAATTTTAGTAAAGGCAAATAGTTTCATATCCTTGAAATTTATATTTTTTGAATTATAAAAAAATACCTAAAATCATTATTTTTTTGTTAAATATCCAATTTCATCATTTAATATCAAACGTTTATAAAAAAAAACCTGAGTATTTACTGTTGATATTTTAAATCATTGTAAGAATTATTTATGAGAAACCTTGTATTACATTTTTAAGTCTTGGCTATTAAATTAATTTTTAACTACAAAATATTTTTCTGAATTATACAAAAATTTTAATTTCAAACGTTTATAAAAAAAACAATTTGTGGCTATATATTATTGTCTAACGAGAGTTTCAATTGATGTAATAACAAATTATAAGGTACGTTGTATTAAAAAGTTCAACCTATTATAGATTAAGAAAGAAAACTGAAATTAACATAATATTATATCAAAAATATTATTGTATGTTAAAATATCTATAAGTAATTTATAACCATTTTGAAAAATATACCATAGGTAAAAATAGATTATATCAATAAAATGAAAATTTCAACTATATAAGCTTGTTCATTTTTTAATTACAAAAATAAAAAACAAAATACAACATATCGATCTCGTTAAATCTGGCAATGAGTAAATATTCCAGTTTCAACATCAGTTCAAAACCAATAGGTTATTATATTCATCGCTCACACTCAGAATCCAAAATATAAAGTCTTTACATCAACGTCCACTGTAATTTACATCCTGTTTAAGGTAAAGAATCATATTATGTATATTAGTTTTCAATGATCAATTTTTTGTTGTTGTAACTATACTAGGTATACTGGTATGCAATTACGTTTTATTGTTTTAAGAGTGATTTAAAAATTTCATAAAATGCTTCAGTGAATTGGAAATAATTATACACAGATAATTATTTTTGGAATTTCAGAAAAATTACCTTGAATTATTGTGAGTAAACGGAATACTACCCGTTAGAGATTTTGGTTTTCATTACATCTAGAAGAGTATTCACTCCCCTTTTTTTATGTGTATTTACCACTTCTTAGAGATCTAAGATAGGAACTTGAAAAATTCACCGATTATTCATCTTAGAATTTAATTAATTTGATGGAGTTTTTAAATATGTTGATAGTTAATAAGCATTATATGTACAAAACTTGAAAATAAACGTTTGTACAGATAGGTATCATGAGAACATTTATGATTTAATTTTTTATTCATTCTTTAATTGAATTTAGTTATAATCGGCGTAGATATATGTATTATGTATAATATATAATATATAATACTCCTGGTACTGATTTAATATTATATTTTTTAATTGGAATAATTGCTTTCAACAATAACTCACTTCATTAGTGATTTATGCACAATCAATTATTGTCATCAAAAGTTCATAATAATAACAAATGTATATATAAATATTATGAAATTCATAATATGAAAGGTAAAAAATTATTTGAAGGCTCAACTTTCAAGTAAAATAAGCCCAAACAGTTCAAAATGGTTTCCCATTGCGTATTTTAAATCATATATAGATACCATTTAATAAATTAAATTAAAACATTTTAGTGACCTTTTTTTTAAATTATATATGCGTGTATAATATGTGCATTTTGCATAGTTAAATAGTTCAAGATTAATAATAATTTTACTGGACTAATTTTGTATTATCAAAATATTTGATATTTTATAATTATTATAAGTATATGTAACATATTATCTCAATTTGAAAAATGTAGCATATCAATATAATTTATGTAATAATATATTTTTTCATACGTATATTTACGATAAAAATAAAATTCGATCAAAACTTTTGGTTATAGATTTAATTTTGACGATGTTAAAACAAATTAATCAAAAATATTAAC